ATGGTGGCGATCAGCAACTCATAGCGGGACTGCGGTGGGCATGCTGACACTGGGGGGGGGAACTGACTTGGTGTCATCAACATCCCCAGGGACACCGATACAGTGATCAGTGCTAATAAAAAGCACTGACACTGTACTAATGGCACTGGGCAGGAAGGGGTTAACATGTTGGACGATCAAAGAGTTAACTGTGTGCAGTTTTACATAGTGTGCTGTGTTATTGCTTCACTGTAAGCACACTGCTTTGCATGGCTGTGGTATGCAGAGCCATGCAAAGAAGTGTGCAGCAGCTGACAAGGGAGAGAACTGTATTGTTTACAAATAGTTCTCCTCCCCATCGGAGATGCTCGGCAATCACCGGGCGCTGGCTATTATTTAGCGGCCAGGACCCGGTGATTGACAGCCGAGGCAGCCGAATTGCGGCACGGGTAGGCCCCTACCCGGAACTGCAAAATCACATATATATATATATATATATATATATATATATATATATATATATATACACACTTCTGCTATAGGGCGGACAGGAAGCGGTTAATTAGTGTAAACCAAAGTTGTGATCAATAATGTTATTCTAAATAATGTAAGCTTTCCCTTTACTATGACTACATGACACCATATTCCTTAGCACTCCTGAACCAAACTACACTAACCCTCACCTAGCTCCTAGGAAAGCAATGACCCTTTCCTTTTGTCTTCTGTGGACAAAATCCTTTCTACCTCTGAGTTTACACTGACCACCCATAGACTTGTATAATAGGGCTGTCTCCTGAGTGTCTTCACATTATATGAAGGTGCGAAACTCACAACACCACAAACAATTGCTTTTCTTTTGTGCACTTAAGTGACACAGCAAAATGGTATGTCCCTGGATATGAGGAACATCAAGTCTAGACATAATCCAATGAGAATCAGATTGATAAGTGTATTTTCTGTGGTTTGGGAATTTCCAGGTCCATATGTCATTCAGAGTATACAGGTGAAACTCGAAAAATTAGAATATTGTGCAAAAGTTCATTTATTTCAGTAATGCTACTTAAAATGTGAAACTAATATATGAGATAGACTCATTACATGCAAAGCAATATAGTTCAAGCTGTGATTTGTCAATTGTGATGATTATGGCTTACAGCTCATGAAAACCCCAAATCCACAATCTCAGAAAATTAGAATATTGTGAAAAGGTGCAATATTCTAGGCTCAAAGTGTCCCACTCTAATCAGCTGATTAAGCCATAACACCAAAGGGTTCCTGAGCCTTTAAATGGTCTCTCAGTCTGGTTCAGTAGGAATCACAATCATGGGAAAGACTGCTGACCTGACAGTTGTGCAGAAAACCATCATTGACACCCTCCATAAGGAGGGAAAGCCTCAAAAGGTAATTGCAAAAGAGGTTAGATGTTCCCAAAGTGCTGTATCAAAGCACATTAATAGAAAGTTATGTGGAAGGGAAAAGTGTGGAAGAAAAAAGGTGCACAAGCAGCAGGGATGACCGCAGCCTGGAGAGGATTGTCAGGAAAAGGCCATTCAAAAGTGTTGGGGACGTTCACAAGGAGTGGACTGAGGCTGGAGTCAGTGCATCAAGAGCCACCACACACAGACGGATCCTGGACATGGGCTTCAAATGTCGTATTCCTCTTGTCAAGCCGCTCCTGAACAACAAACAACGTCAGAAGCGTCTTACCTGGGCTAAAGAAAAACAGACCTGGTCTGTTGTTCAGTGGTCCAAAGTCCTCTTTTCTGATGAGAGCAACCTTTGCATCTCATTTGGAAACCAAGGACCCAGAGTATGGAGGAAGATAGGAGAGGCACACACTGCAAGATGCTTGAAGTCCAGTGTGAAGTTTCCACAGTCTGTGTTGATTTGGGGAGCCATATCATCTGCTGGTGTTGGTCCACTGTGCTTCATTAAGTCCAGGGTCAACGCAGCCGTCTACCAGGAGATTTTGGAGCACTTCATGCTTCCTTACGCAGACGAGCTTTATGGGGATGCTGACTTCATTTTCCAGCAGGACTTGGCACCTGCCCTCACTGCCAAAAGCACTAAAACCTGGTTCAATGACCGTGGGATTACTGTGCTTGATTGGCCAGCAAACTCGCCTGACATGAACCCCATAGAGAATCTATGGGGCATTGCCAAGAGAAAGATGAGAGACATGAGACCGAACAATGCAGAAGAGCTGAAGGCCGCTATTGAAGCATCCTGGTCTTCCATAACACCTCAGCAGTGCCACAGGCTGATAGCTTCCATGCCATGCCGCATTGAGGCAGTAATTGCTGCAAAAGGAGCCCAAACCAAGTACTGAGTACATATGCATGCTTATACTTTTCAGAGGTCCGATATTGTTCTATGTACAATCCTTGTTTTATTGATTGCATGTAATATTCTAATTTTCTGAGATTGTGGATTTGGGGTTTTCATGAGCTGTAAGCCATAATCATCACAATTATGACAAATCACGGCTTGAACTATCTTGCTTTGCATGTAATGAGTCTATCTCATATATTAGTTTCACTTTTTAGGTTGCATTACTGAAATAAATAAACTTTTGCACGATATTCTAATTTTTCGAGTTTCACCTGTATCTGTCTGTCCATTCCCTCAACCCTGAGTGAGATTTTCTGTGGCTGTAGAATCAATGAAGTGAGGGGTCCATCATTGTGTTAAAGTCAACCGGTAGGACAATGGATCCCTTTGCTACCTTAAGTGCGATCTGCATACATTAGGTCAACCAGTTTAAATCGAATGGATTAGGGATATAAACATTGACAATACTATAATATGCATTCAAATGACATAATACCAGAATTACATAACACGCTTGTAGGTCTGTTTTGATATTGGGCTACTATGTCAGCAGCTGAAACCAATATCTGCCAAATAGAGATAAGAAAAGTTTGCAAATGATGAACATAAGTAGTTAACTACTTTAACTTACTTCAGCTCTGGAAGGTTTTATCTCCTTCATGATCAGGTCGTTTTTGGCTATTCAACACAACGCTACTTCAATTGGTAATTGCGCAGTCATGCAATGCTGTACCACAAACAAAATTTTTTATTGTTTTTTTTTTCACACAAATAGATCATTCTTATGGTGGTATTTGATCACCACTGGGTTTTTTAAGATAAATAGACTGAAAATTTAAAAAAAAAAAAAACAACATTTCTTCCTTTCTGCTATAAAACATATCCAATAAAAACATTTAAAAAAATCAGATTTGTTCATAAATTTAGGCCAAAATGTAGTCTGCTACATGTCTCTGGTAAAAAAAAAATCCCAAAAAGTGTATATTGATCAGTTTGCGTGAAGGTTATAGGGTCTACAAACTATGCTACATGTACTGGATTTTTTTTTTATTTACCTATTGGCAGAGATCAGCGACTGTAATAGTGCAGAAGCAATCTGACACTAACTGACACTGGTTGGGAACTGACTAACTGCCCTGACATCACCAGTGGCACTAACACAGTGATCAGTGATAATACTATACACTGTCACTGTACTAATGGCACTGGCTGGGAAGGGGTTAACATCTTGGGCAATCAAGAGGCTAAATGTATGCCTAACAATGTGTAGTGTGTATATTATGTGCTGCTTTCTACTAAATATCTCTCTGCAGGGGCGGACTGACCATTTGGAAACTCAGGCATTGCTGAGGGCCCGGGGTCAGTAGGGGGCCCCATGAGATGCCCCTTTTTCATAGGCTTTTTTGAGTTTGGGCAAGGACACAGGGCCCCATGATCCCCTATTGCCTGGGGGCCCCATGAGTTGTTAGTCCGCCCCTGACTCTCTGTTTCTTTGCCCTGCTTTGCAAGGCGAAGAAAGAGAGAGATCATTGCCTCTGTACAGAGCCCAGTGTTGAATGTCAACACAGGTATCTGGGCTGTGATTGGACACAGCCAACCATATATATATATAAAAAATCATTTTCTTTTCTTTTTTCTTTTTTGAATGATCAAAGGGACGTTTTTGTTTTATAACACATTTCTTTCTGGGGATTATTTTGAGATTCACGTTTTTTATATTATTGTTATAATTTAATCAAGGTGTTATTATTTAGGTATTTTTGATAAAATTTTTTGTTTATTTTGATTTGATTGATATTTGTAGTATATTGGGAGCGCGACATGTAGAGTTTGTTTTTATAGGGTACATGGTACCGCTACCCATTCACAAAAAAAAGTGTAGTGGAAAAATGACAGAAGACAGTCTTTGAAAAGTCCTTTATTAAAAACAAAATTTTAAAAAGTTCCCCGAAGTGGATCCAAAGTCAGTCATGATGCCTGCCGCCACCCCTGACCTGAAAAAAGAAACAAAAACACTCTCCTCTTTCTCAATGCTCGCTCCCGCCATCTGACAGCTGCGCTAGGATGACAGTTCTTAAATACTGTGATGATGTCACAAGGGGGCGGGGTCATCCCCGACCCCTTGTGATGTCATCATGCGCTATGATTGGCATTGCACCTGACCTGTGCTCAGGTGCATTGCTTTGGCCAATCGCAATGCACTGTCAGGGCACAGTGCATTGTGGGGTGTGTCGGGCGAATAGGTCGCCGAACGCCCTTAACTTTAACATTAGTTTGACTCGAACATACAGCCCTTCACTACTAGCCTTAATGGACAAGTACTCTCAATTTAGAGCAAATTCTGTTTATAGTTGACTTATCCTACCTGAATCATTAAATCATCCCAAGAAACAGCCCACTGCTAATGCAGAGGCCTGTGATGTTTTCAGGTATGTATAACACCTTGCTGGCCCCTCCTACCAGCCATGATCTGTTCATTACATAGACAAGCACAGAGACCCAGGGATTATGTCATGCAGTCTAAAGTAAGGTATGTAATGAAAATGGCAAGATTACATTTCCTAATTTTATTAGCATGTTGATGAGGTTGAAAAAGCAAAATATACAGAGATTACAGCTTTATTTATGTGAGCTGGAAATGATCAGCTGCCTGATTTTCTATTATGAAATGTTACATTTTCTATTTACAGCGGAATGTGCAAAGTTTAAGCCAATAGAAGAACAGATGACAGTGTAAGTTACAATATATAATTTCTACTATAAAAAAAATATAAATCCTGTATAACAATAATAATAATAATAATAATAATATGTATACAAGCATGCTATGCTGTTGTATCAAACTCTTTCCTTTTTCCTATGCTCATTTAGCTACTCATACTAATTCACGTGAACTATTTGCCAAAGAGCATCCTTTTGGCCCTTTTTGCATGTGAATGTTACATAACAAGTGTCTACAACAGCACAGGGTTCCTTTCCTTGTTATCACTGATCATCTCTGGCTTCTATTATGGCCACTGTGTGCTTTGAGTACTGAATGATATATGAATATTGATTTACATTAAAGGGGATTTTTTTGGGAAAAAGTAACGTCCCTTGTAAGCAGGTGACGATGTGTCTCACTTGTGGTCACAGCAGGCAGCCGGAGCAGCCCCATATAAATTAAAGTCCTGACAAACTGACCTTTCCGAGCATACCAGATCTTGCCCTGTAGATTCCACTCTTTGTCTCTCCCTTGATGTGCGGGTGGGGGCCAGTGAGCAGATCCTCTGCCCATACTCCTGGTTGCGCAGCTGTACCCCCCTGATTCCCAGGGGTACTAGGACTCTGGTCTAACTTCTTCCCGGACCCAACTTCTTCCAGGGCTCAACAGCTTGGTGGTATCACTGAAACCTCTACTCTCTCACCACATCTAATGTGTTACCTGAAGAACTCACACAGGGACAACATGTAGATAAACTTATTCATTATTGAAGAATTGCGGTATGCAACAGTCACTCAGACATTGGGCCAAACACAATATGAAGGGAAGAGATTCTCTCAATAAAACAATCATCTGTTCCATAGGGTTGGTGAGGTATCCCTTGTGCCCATCTCCAGGGGGAGCCCCTCCAGGGGAAAGGAAAGTGTTAATTCTCAGCTCTTAGATGTTGCTCCCCTTCATGGCTCTCCTTCCCATGGCCAGCAACCTACTCCTCCTTCTAGACTCCTCCCTCGATATTTAAGAGATACTGCCAGGAAGGAAATTAACTCATTCTCCTTCCTGGAAGGAGTTTAAAGGGCTACAAATATCAGTGGGCCACAAGACTGGGCCCAAACTTAGCATACCTACACCCTGCTTGTTTGAAGGAACACAGATTGGCTTCTACATACATGCTGAGTTTTCACAGGGTAAAAATGATGTGAATATACAATACACATGCAAAGCGCTGTTAAAGTACCTGTAATAAATAAATAAAAATAAAATACAATGGGCAGTTCTAGTTTTCACCTGAAGTGCCACCCCCGATAGAGTCGTTGCTGTCTTTTTTAATCACTATTACTATATTACAAAAAAAATGTATATACTATGATGCTTTTTTTTCCAAAAGTATATGTGTAGGTTAGCAGTATTAGCCAAGTAGTCAGTTTATAATTTTTGTGTAATCTATGTTTAGCTAGTTGAAAATGCTAATGTGTCATGGCACTGTGATTTAGTCTAATCTCTTGTTTCCCCAGGTTTTCCTTGTACTATGTTGCTATAGGTGCTGCTGTCTTGGTGTGTGGATATGTTCAGGTCTCATTTTGGGTTCTTGCTGCTGCAAGACAGACCCGAAGAATGAGGAGAACCTTCTTCCACTCAGTATTGTCCAAAGAGATTAGTTGGTTTGATGTCACCAAATCAGGAGAACTTAATAGTCGCCTTACAGAGTAGGACCACAGTCTAACTTTAATCTAACATTATTACACTTCTACAGTCCTGATTAATGTGCTAAACATCATTTGTTAACCCTTGTTCCCCAGAGACATCAATAAAATTAATGATGGGATTGGAGACAAAGTTGGTCATTTTTTGCAAAATTTTTCAACGTTTGTAGCAGGACTTGTCGTTGGCTTGGCGAAGGGGTGGCAGCTTGCCTTAGTGTACATGTCAACCAGTCCACTCATGGCATTATCATCAGCATTTTGTTCTAAGGTAAATTCTCCATAGTCTATCTATACAGAGAATGCAGTCCTTTTAAATAGTGTTTTGTATCATTGAACTTTGAATAATAACTTTACAGGTCAAGCACATTGATTTCCAGGATTGGCTACATTCAAATATAACTCGCCCAAGTGCACATGTACTATATGTCTCTTTGACTATATTTCAACTGTTCCATTGAGATTTCAATTGTTACCCCTTAGCTGTTAGAGAATAAATGTATTCAATAACCATGCAAATTCTAATATAGTATTGGAGTGATTCTGTTTTCATATCCCACGCTTCTTTTTAAAATGTAAAATTAATGATTTTGGCTTAGAAGTCACATCTAGATTTCCCAATTTACACACGCTTCCGGAAACTGTTGGGCTACTAATGCCATCAAACCAGCAGCTGTACAGCCACCCGATCGCTTTCTTTGACTCCCCTTGCCATGCTTCCCGGGCTCCGCAGTCCCACCTGTGGATCCTGGAACTGCATGGCAGGTGTCAGTAGGTGGATCAGTTTGCTGATCTTCCCTAGCTCGAGGGAACCCAGAAGCAATGTGCAAAAATCATTACTTCAGATTTCTGTTATCACTTTCCCTGGTTCTTGAGGGCAGGTGAGAAGCTAATAGAGCATGATCTTACCTACCCTCAATTGGGGGGCAGGTGATAGAAAGATGTCACATAGAAAATTTTAAATCACATTTTTGTCCCCTATGTGATAAAAATAAAATTGTCAAAAAAAAGTTATACCCAAGCACTTAAACACCCCCCCCAAAAAAAAAAATGTTAGCCCACCCCCGTGTAAGTGCACATCCAAACAATTGTACCCATCAGGGGTGTCTATGTACAAAAACTTTGCCTGTAATACACGTCACATATCACTGTGCACACTGGATTACCAACAATAATTCTTGGGCCAATATTCACAATTAACTCTAAACTGATGACCTGTAGGGGCTATTAAAGTCTATGGGAGACATAGGGAACAGAAATTCATCATCATTTTGCAAATTTAAATTGGGTAATATATTGCGTTTGTCTGCCTTAAACTTAACTATGGTGTATTTTTTATTGAAATTTTGCACATGATAAACCGTTGTGTAAATATCTTGCAACATCAAAAATTGGAATTACTGTTATTTTATTCTACAGGGTGTCTGCTTTCAAAAATATATATAATGTTTGGGGGTATTAAGTAGTCTTCAGGTCTAAAATGATTTTCAAAACACTTATGCAAAAAATGCAAAAACTGGTCTGACAGCGAAATGGTTAAGTTGCATATGAAATAACTGGGTGTGATGGTTTAAGTGGAAGTGGACAGGTGCACAGCAGATGGTATTGTTTGCTTATGAATATCTTCTTTATCACATCGTGTTATAGATGAGTAGTGCTGTAGCAGGGTCACCATACTTAATACTCATTACCCATGAAGAGGATTAGGAATGTTATTAGCTAGTCCCCAAATGAAATGTTAGTCAAAGCTGTTTTGTGAATTGATGTTCACTTCATTTCTAGACTCTGTTCCTATTACAGAGGTTCTAACCCCAGCAGTACACCTACACATTAACAGGCTTAAAGCAGTATTAAAGTGTTACTAAACCCACAACAGTAAAATCAGTCTGTATATGCAATAAAGCATGCTTGTTATACTCACTGTGGAACCTAAGGGGTTAATCCTCTGCAATGTGTAAAAAGGCCATTTGATCCTGTTTTCTCTGCCCCTCCTCTTGTTCAAATGTCCACCTGATAAGACAGACTGAACCCGTAGCCACATGCACATGCTCAGTTTAGTGTGTATTGATAGAGAGGTTTTTTTTTTTCCTTGGGAGAGTGCATGTGATCAACACAGGACCAATCAGCACTGTCCAGACAGAGGGTCAGAGAAAACTCCTCCTACAAACTTTAACCGGTGCTCTGCTGGACACTGATAGAAGTCACAAGACTGCTCTAACTTCTGATGAGAAAAGGTATTTAGCAGTTTATATTTACTAAAAAATAATTGCATTTCCATGTTCTGTGTACTGCGGGAGACCAGATATAGTGAATGCAGGGTCCGGGGTTTAGTAACACTTTAAACCCAAAATCAAACTTATTATATTGCAGCTTACCAAATCTTAGGCCTCATGCAAACTGGATGTTCTGCAAATTCTCCCAGAAGCCTGACACTTGTAAAAGTGTGTATCGCTTTTAGACACGTTTAGGTGTGTTTACAGGCGTCAAGAGCTGGGGGTGTTAATTCATTTTATTGGCCAGAATAATAATTTATTCTGGCCATTGAAATGAATGAATGCTCAAGCGCTAAACACGACTAGCGGTAACATGTGTTTTAGATGTGTTTACAAGTGTCAAGTGTTTTTTCTCCCAAAATGCTGCTGCTCCTGAACACACTGGCAGTGTTTTTTTTCTGCTTCTAAAAGCCCCTGCTACTAAATGCTGCTGCTAAAAGTCTATGGGGTTGATTTACTAAAGTCAAATAGGCTGTGTACTTTGCAAAGTGCAGTTGCACTCTTCAAGTGCAGTTGCTTCAGAGACAACTAAATGAGCACAAGCTCTGCTGAGTTCCATCATCCAATCATGTGCAAGCAGAAATGCTGTTTTTTTTTATTCTTCTTGCACATGATTGGGTATTCTTTGCAAAGTGAAGCTTTACCTTGTTTACTAAACTTTGGAGCAAATGCACTTGCAGACTGCAACTGCACTTTGCAAAGTGCACAGTCTGTTTGCCTTTAGTAAATCAACCTCTATGTGTGCATGAACACATAGGCTAACATTGAGGGGTATTTAAAGGCAGAAAAAAAAAACGCCTGTTCAGGGGCGGACTGACCATTCGAGCACTCGGGCACTGCCCGAGGGCCCGGGGTCAGTAGGGGGCCCCATGAATGCCCCTGGCACCTTTTTTATAGGCTTTTTTGGGTGTGGGCAAGGACACAGGGGCCCCATGATCCCCTATTGCCCGGGGCCCCATGAGTTGTCAGTCTGCCCCTGCGCCTGATGTCCCTAGAACCAGCAGTAAAAACAGTATGTATGAGGCCTTTTAGATGTGATGGCTGTATTTGTTTTCTTTTTTCATCTGGTGATCTAGCCAGAAAGTCTGTTATTTTTTTAAAGAACAGGCTTTCTTCCAGACAGATTAGTTTACAGGGATGAGACCATGCCATTTAACACTTCTTATTCACTCCCTGGTTATCTCTCGCCTCAACTACTGCAACTTCCTCCTCATTGGCTTACCTTTACATAGCTATCCCACCTCCAGTCCATCATGAATACTGCTGCCAGGATGATGCACCTTACCAACCGTTCAGTGTCTGCTACCCCTATCTGCCAATCTCTCCACTGGCTTCCAGCTGCCCAACGAATAAAATTCAAAATACTGACAACAACTTAGAAAGCCATCCACAACTCTGCCCCCAGCTACCTATCACCAACCTGGTCTCAAAATATCAACCAAACCACTCTCTTTGATCCTTCTAAGACCTTCTACTCTCTAGTTCCCGTGTCACCTCCTGCCATGCTCGCCTCCAGGACCTCTCCCAGATTTTCCCATCCTATGGAACTCCCTACCCCAATCTGTCCAACTATCTCCTAATCCATCAACCTTTAGATAATCCCTGAAAAAACCTTCTCTTTAAAGAAGCCTATCCTGCGTCTACCTAGTAAAACTGCTTTTTACTTCCTCTATCAGCTCATCCCCCCACAGCTATTACCTTTTGAATCACTCAAAACCCTTCCTCTTAGACAGAGGGGCCTAACGAGCAGGGCCCTCTGATTCCTTTTGTACCAAATTGTATTATAACTGTACTGTCTGCCTTCATTTTGTAAAGTGCTGCGCAAACTGTTGGCGCTATATAAATCTTGTATAATAATAATAATAATATAATAATAATAACAGTAGCAGGGGTGCTTACAATGATCAGCTTTTATTTATTCATGTAAACCTTTATCCCCCAAAGGAAAAAAACTGTTTGATGTAATTGAGGAGGTGCTGGGGGTTTGTTACCGGCCAGATCACCAGATGAAAACAGGGGGGAAAAGCCTAAAAAAAAGACTAATGCAGCTACCACATCTAATGATTGGTAAGCTGCAATATATTACATTTTTGGTTTGGGTATAATTCGGCTTTAGTTGTGTGCAGTGATCCAAATGACTCGGTGATCAGCTGTCTAAACATTGCATGTGACATCCATGTTTATTGCATAATTTTTGTTTGAAGGCTTTATACTGTATTGTATAAGGAGGTTGGAGTCGAAACCAGACTTTCACTGTAGTTTCTTGTTTATTTCCAAAAACTAAATGGCATTCTGTGATAAATGGCTGAAATGTACAAGCTGTCTTTCTCTGTAGCATCTACAGGCTCTTACTTAAAGCGGAGTTCCAGCTGAATAAACAATGAATAAAATGAGCATGGTATTGACACAGCTCCAGATGATCCACATTGGCTCACAACTGATATGATCCAAAAATATTTAGACAGTATAAAGGTGATTAAAGCACCTGGATCGGATGGCATACACCCACGGGTCCTTACAGAATTGAGCTCTGTCATTTCAAAGCCATTGTTTCTCATTTTTAGGG